ATCGAACACGTGTATTGTATATAAACGATACCTCCGACTCTATCGAACACGTGCATTTTATATAAACGCTTCCTCCGACCCTATCGAACACGTGTATTGTAAATAAACGCTACCTCCGACCCTTTCGAACACGTGTATTGTATATAAACGCTACCTCCGACCCTATCGAACACGTGTCTTGTATATAAACGTTACCTCCGACCCTATAGAACACGTGTATTGTATAAAGTTACCTCCGACCCTATCGAACACGTTTATTGTATATAAACGCTACCTCCGGCCCTATCGACCACGTGTATTGTATAAACGTTACCTCCGACCCTATCGAACACATGTATTGTATATAACCGCTCCTTCCGACCTTATTGAACACCTGTATTGTATAAACGTTACCTCCGACCCTATGGAACACCTGTATTGTATAAACGTTACCTCCGACCCTATGGAACACCTGTATTGTATAAACGTTACCTCCGACCCTATGGAACACCTGTATTGTATAAACGTTACCTCCGACCCTATGGAACACCTGTATTGTATAAACGTTACCTCCGACCCTATGGAACACCTGTATTGTATAAACGTTACCTCCGACCCTATCGAACGCGTGTATTGTTTAAACGTTACCTCCGACCCTATCGAACACGGGTATTGTATAAACGTTACCTCCGACCCTATGGAACACCTGTATTGTATAAACGTTACCTCCGACCCTATCGACCACGTGTATTGTATAAACGTTACCTCCGACCCTATCGAACACGTGTATTGTATATAAACGTTACCTCCGACCCTATCGACCACGTGTATTGTATAAACGTTACCTTCGACCCTATCGAACACATGTATTGTATATAAACGCTACTTCCGACCTTATTGAACACCTGTATTGTATAAACGTTACCTCCGACCCTATCGACCACGTGTATTGTGTAAACGTTACGTCTGACCCTATCGAACACGTGTATTGGATAAACGTTACCTCCGATCCTATCGAACGCGTGTATAGTGTAAACGCTACCTCTGACCATATCGAACACGTGTATTGTATATAAACTGTACCTCCGGCGCTATCGAACACGTGCATTGTGTATTCGCTACCTCCGACCCTATCGAACCCGTGTATTGTATAAACTTTACCTCCGATCCTATCGAACACCTGTATTGTATAAACGTTACCTTCGACCCTATCGACGACTCTATCGAACACGTGCATTGTATATAAACGCTTCCTCCGACCCTATCGAACACGTGTATTGTATATAAACGTTACCTCCGACGCTATCGAACACGTGCATTGTATTTTCGCTACCTCCGACCCTATCGAACACGTGTATTGTATAAACGTTACCTCCGATCCTATCGAACACGTGTATAGTGTAAACGCTACCTCTGACCCTATCGAACACGTGTATTGTATATAAACGCTCCCTCCGACCCTATCGAACACGTGTATTTTATGTAAACGCTACCTCCAACCCTATCGAACACGTGTATTGTATATAAACTTTACCTCCGACCCTATCGAACACGTGTATTGTATATAAACGTTACCTCCGATCCTATCGAACACGTGCATTGTATAAACGTTACCTCCGATCCTATCGAACACGTGTATTTTATATAAACGTTACCTCCGACCCTATCGAACACGTGTATTGTATAAACGTTACCTCTGACCCTATCGAACACGTGTATTGTATATAAACGCTACCTCCGACCCTATCGAACACGTGTATTGTATATAAACGTTACCTCCGACGCTATCGAACACGTGCATTGTATTTTCGCTACCTCCGACCCTATCGAACACGTGTATTGTATAAACGTTACCTCCGATCCTATCGAACACGTGTATAGTGTAAACGCTACCTCTGACCCTATCGAACACGTGTATTGTATATAAACGTTACCTCCGACCCTATCGAACATCTGTATTGTATAAACGTTACCTCCGACCCTATCGAACACGTGTATTGTGTAAACGTTACGTCTGACCCTATCGAACACGTGTATTGTATATAAACGTTACCTCCGATCCTATCGAACACGTGCATTGTATAAACGTTACCTCCGATCCTATCGAACACGTGTATTTTATATAAACGTTACCTCCGACCCTATCGAACACGTGTATTGTATATAAACGCTACCTCCGACCCTATCGAACACGTGTATTTTATATAAACGCTACCTCCAACCCTATCGAACACGTGTATTGTATATAAACGTTACCTCCGACCCTATCGAACACGTATATTGTATATAAACGTTACCTTCGACCCTATCGAACACGTGCATTGTATTTTCGCTACCTCCGGCCCTATCGAACACGTGTATTGTATAAACGTTACCTCCGACCCTATCAAACACGTGTATTGTATATAAACGTTACCTCCGACGCTATCGAACACGTGCATTGTATTTTCGCTCCCTCCGGCCCTATCGAACACGTGTATTGTATAAACGTCACCTCCGACCCTATCGAACACCTGTATTGTATCAACGTTACCTCCGACCCTATCGAACACGTGCATTGTATATTCGCTACCTCCGGCCCTATCGAACACGTGTATTGTATAAACGTCACCTCCGACCCTATCGAACACGTGTATTGTGTAAACGTTACCTCTGACCCTATCGAACACGTGTATTGTATATAACCGTTCCCTCCGACCCTATCGAACCCCTGTATTGTATAAACGTTACCTCCGACCCTATCAAACACGTGTATTGTATATAAACGTTACCTCCGGCCCTATCGAACACCTGTATTGTATAAACGTTACCTACGACCCTATCGAACACCTGTATTGTATAAACGCCACCTCCGACCCTATCGAACACGTGCATTGTATATTCGCTACCTCCGGCCCTATCGAACACGTGTATTGTATAAACGTTACCTCCGACCCCATCGAACACCTGTATTGTATAAACGTTACCTCCGCCCCTATCGAACACCTGTATTGTATAAACGTTCCCTCCGACCCTATCGAACACCTGTATTGTATCAACGTTCCCTCCGACCCTATCGAACACGTATATTGTATATAAACGATACCTTCGACCCTATCGAACACGTGCATTGTATTTTCGCTACCTCCGATCCTATCGAACACGTGTATTTTATATAAACGCTACCTCCAACCCTATCGAACACGTGTATTGTATATATACGTGACCTCCGATCCTATCGATCTCGTGTATTGTATATTAACGCTACCTCTGACCCTTTCGAACACGTGTATTGTATATAAACGCTACATCCGACCCTATCGAACACTTGTATTCTATAAACGTTACCTCCGACCCTATCGAACGCCTGTATTGTATAAACGTTACCTCCGACCCTCTCGAACACGTATATTGTATATCACCGTTACCTTCGACCCTATCGAACACGTGCATTGTATATTCGCTACCTCCGGCCCTATCGAACACGTGTATTGTATAAACGTTACCTCCGACCCTATCGATCACCTGTATTGTATAAACGTTACCTCCGACCCTCTCGAACACGTGTATTGTATATAAACGTTACCTCCGACCCTATCGAACACGTGTATTGTATATAAACGTTACCTCCGACCCTTTCTAACACGTGTATTATATACAAACGCTACCTCCGACCCTATCGAACACGTGCATTGTATAAACGGTTCCTCCGACACTATCGAACACGTGTATTGTGTAAGTATTACCTCTGAATCAGTCAAACACAGGGTCGCCATTCGTTGGATTCTGCTTTCGTGACATCTCGTCTAATCACGGCCTCGATCCTGCGCGCGGTGAGATCAGTACATGTAGCAGTCGGGAAAAGGCTTCGCACGAATGGAATTTTAAATATTTCAATATCAAAATATTTAAAATATTTTGTTATATTTTTACTTGCAACAGATTGCGGTACTGTTACTTTAATAGACACATTTGGTGAACAGCATGACAGAGCAATGTAAACAACGAATATCGTTTTAAAAGATATATGGCAGAGTTTACTTGTACATGGTTATAGGTTTGAATTTGCTGTTTTACGTTAATAGTTGCAGCAAAAAGACACGTATACCTCGATGAAAGGGAGATAACTTGTAAATGTAAGCGTGTGTATGACACATTACGTCGCCTTCTCATATATTTGACAACTAGATTTATTATAGATATGAAAAATGCAAAAGCTTAAGATATTGTGAGATACGATGAGGTGTGTGTTTTACGAGAGACGTAAACATATTCGCAGGATGTAGCCTGTCCAATGTTGAGGTAACCAAATGGTACATGTACAATCAGTTTTGTTAGTATATCAGGGGGGAGAAAGGGGCATCTTTTTCAGAAATTGGTTTGTTAACCAATCGAGAAGCTCATCCTCAGTTATAAAACATTACATAGGAGTGCGGTCGTGCCCCTAATTGTAGTTTCTTCTACACTAACTAAGCACAGGACCCGTTACCTTTTACTACATTGTATACATATGTTTTCCATCAAAGGTATTTTTAGACATTGAATGTTATCATTTATAAGTTACAAGAAGTTTGGTATAAAATTGTGTTTGGGGACTGCATTACAACAACTTAAAATCCTTTGCACCTCTTCTCCTCCCCCCNAGTAAGTGCCGCCCAATTTGACATAAGTGCTTTGTACTTATTTTCAAATCCGATATGTATATCATGTTTGTATTACTGAAATATTATACCGACAATAAAATATAAACTCATAATAAATAATTATGAATATACGTGTAAGCCTGCTATACATATACATTACGAGGTTTGCATACTGACCAGAATCTCTTCGTAATACATGTTGTTCTGTCGTGATATGCCAGGCGGTAACATTTGTGGTTGCTTCGCTCTAGATAACGACACATCTTCATCAAAGAAGATGGTTGACAAATCTACCAATTTAAATAAAACAATTCCGTACAACGCAAAAAAAATATAAAATAAATATCTAGGCTTATATTTCGAATTTTGGTAAAATCAGGGACATATATCTACTGCTGTTACCTCAGGAGGGATTGTCTAATCTTTTATTATTTCCCGAAAAAAATATTGAAACAAATTAATCAAGAGTTTTGATAATACTGCAGTTTATGTAATACCATTCTTATTTGCAAATGTAATTCAACTGAAATTGGATTCATCTGTCTGTTCCTCAGATTATATATACCTTTGAATAAATATAAATTTTCAAAATTGTACATACATGTACAACCTGTGAGCCACAAGGAAGTGATTCAGATCCCTGTAACGTTCTGTCAACGACTTTAATATGTTTTGGTCTAAGTGACACTGTCAATGAGATTGAACATTTCAAATATGTGTAAGTTATTGACGGAGGACTTCCGAGATCCACGAGAATCGGTTCGGACATACAACATATTCCTGTCGAATCTGACAATATGACGGACAATGTAGTCGTATCTCCCCCTCGTAATGGACGGATATCGGGTACAGTTCGGAGCGATGGCATCTAAAAACTCGGTATGCGAAGCGCCATAGGTAAACCCAAACTCATCCGTTGTCCTCACTGCAAGGTACCCTGGGTCTGCGCATGGCTCAATACGGGTTTCCGGTTCCGTTTCAGCATCAGTGGTAATACACATTTCGTTAACATCCCATCTTAGTGAACTTTGATCAATGCTTTCTTCCAAATAGCTTGTCGAATCGAGTAGATTCAGCACTAGCCACGCCATCTGCTGATTTATAAGCCGCACGTGGATGCGCACGATCCAGTCGTGTGAGTAGATGACCTCACCTAGATAAAGTGGGGCGAGGTTGATGGTTTTCATCGGATAGTCTTGGCCTGGTTTGTAGATGTATATGTCGTAATTATCTGAATCTGAAGCAACCAGATGTCCATTAGGTAAGACGGCAAAGCCATTGATGTGACAAAGTTCCGTCGCACACAGGTTTAAGTACTGCACCTGTCGTGCATGTGTACCTGCGGAATGAAGAAAGGTATACTTTTATGACACCTACCTATACCCGTTCGATAAAATAGAATCGTGAAATACTTGGTATATAGGAAACCCAGTAATGATAAGAGAAGTTTATTGTAAGACTTTTACATGCATTGGAGTGTAGGCTAGGGAAATTCCACCCAAAAGCATTCATACGTCAACGTCATAGTTGCCCAATTGTGACGTCACGCACCTGAAATTGAGTGTCGGATAGTAATTACATACTTCTGTTTCTTACCCTGGACAGTTCTGCATGAGAGAATATAGTGTATGAGCAATAACTTAGTATACTCTTGCTTTAATGCGACATCCATTATGACGTCATTGATTTGAGACTACAACAACACCGATATTTTGTATCGGGTGTTCTGGGTCTGACAAACTGAGCCTGTGTGACCTTTAGTCCAGTTTTTGTCCTTGTGTTTTGACACTGTGGTATATGTTTTATTACACACCTGTGAATCATTACTGTAGTGGAAAGCAAGATTTAAAAGAATGCAATACAAGATCGTGATATGGGTATGTATATACTGGATCTTACATGAGTTTTCATTTCAAATGAGATTTATGAAACGAGTCTCATAATTTTTCAATTAAGCAAGCCTCTGGCGAGCTAAAATGAAAAATTCGTGACGAGTTTCATAAATTTCATATGAGGTGAAATCGGATGTAAGATCCTTTTTATCACATACTCAAGATTAGTGGCATTTATTCGTGTAAAATGGCAAATTTCATGCAACATTGAAATGTAAAAAGCCGCCATTTGACTCCAGTTCGTAAGTCTGTGACGTAATGTACTTGTCCTAGGCATGACGTCACAAGTGAAACAATCGAAACTTACAACCAATCAAAGGGTTGATAGATCATATTACATGGGTTAATACGCAAAAATAATATGACATGGGTATATTCACTGGATATTATTATTGGTACGTTATGTGATAAATACATATTCCTAATGGAAGCACTATATAATTCCCTCTCCGGGTGCAAAATTTCATCAGTTTTTTAATAATAACAAATAATAATAATTCGAGGTTCTTATATACCGTTTTATCACAGCTTAGTTCGTAGGTCGTCTCACAGAGGTTCACAAATTGATATCCGTGGTTATAGGGCCTTTGCAACCAGATTTCTCAACTCCCTGAGGAGCATACAGCCGGTGCTGCCATTTAGGCGCTCACAGCTAGCATTCAACAATTCTAGGACTGCCCAACCACGTACTTTTTTACAGCTGAGTAGACTGGAATAAGTGGAGTAAAGTATCTTGCGCAAAGATAAAAACAGTGCCGTGACGTGACTCAAACCCGTAACCCTTCGGTCACGGGCCCGCCGTCCTACAGTGCCACTTGACTACAGTGTCATACTTAAAACGAAGCCAGGAGAATACATTTTCGAAAAGTAAATTAGCATATAACCTAATTGGAAATGACACCACGTGAACGATTGATGGACGTCACTGTAAAACATTTCCAATAACTTTGTTTGACGTCTTGTTTTCACGCCAAGGTAAAATGGAGCTGATTTCCGTTCCATTTTGAGTAGCATTGCTTTCTTTTTGCCTTTTCTTTGACATAGTGTTAAACATTTTAGGCGATTATGCTGTATTATACAGGTTTTTGTTTGTTTGTTTGCTAATTTGTTTGTTTGTATGGTCTTCAACTTCCATGTAACATCAATGTCATGCCGTACTTTGTATTAAGACAGGAAGCAGATTTTTAATTGATATGTATGAACTGAAGTGTTCACTACTTAGGAGGCACGCTAGTCTAGTGGTAAGACACCGGGCTCGTGACCAAATGGTTGCAGATTCGAATCACGTCACGGCACTGTGTTGCATTGTTGAAACTGCTTGTTCCAGTCTGTAAATGAGTACGTGGTTGGGCAGTGCTAGAAGTGTTGAATGCTTGCTGTGAGCGCCCAAAATGGCAGCACTAGCTGTATCTACCCCAAGGAGTTGAGAAAGATATTGGCTGGTTGCAAAGGCCCTACAACCACGGATAATAATGTATTAACCGCGTTGAGACGACCTTCGAACTAGGTTGTGATAAAGCGATATATAAAAACCTCAAATATATTACTTTGATTTTTGTCTAGATAAATTCTGGATAGAAATTTAGAAAATGGCGTTTCTGCGTTAACGCGATACACTCTTTTTAGTTACTGATCAGACAAGATACATTGTAAGGTTTCAATTATTGTTTCTTAAAGATACATGTACCATCCCATAAGAGTTTTATTTACGAACGCTTACAACGAGTAAGTAAGTTTGAGATGGTGCTAATTGCAATACCGTATCAGTTTAACTGAACATTGTCAATAAAGTGTAAAGTAAATACAAAATGTGTTTTCTTTAACGGCGTCATCGAGAAGTTTAAATTTTCATATTTGTGATATCACAGTTGATACATGGCCTTATATTTACATTTGCGCTTCAACCAACTATATGAACATTACCTAACTGGCTTCATGCAATATGAATGTAACCGATTTGCGTTCATACCGACATGAAAAAAAACGCAGTTCAAGCCATATATAAAATAGAATCAATCCTGATATAGATTATCTAAATAATCTTAAAGGATTATTATATCATTTTCTCTAATAAATCGTGATCACACAATGAGTAGCGTGTGATACTCACCGTCAAATCGACGTTGTGAACGTCTCGGTTTCCATCTCAAAAGCCATCGCCTCGTAAGCGTGCGGCGTTCTTCACGATTCATTCTCACGGAACTGACACACGAGTCACTCTGTTCACGAGACCGGAGACGGGTCAGTACTGTGCTTACGTTACGCAGCTGTGACGTCACATTAAAGACGTCCGAGGTATCATCCGGTGTAATTTGTAATACATTCCACGGCGCAAGTGAAATCCATTGTTCATCTATTGCATTGTATTGAGCTATCTCTTCATCTGCGTTGTTCACTAGGTCCGTTAACACGTTGTATATATCTTCAAGTTGGACGGCGACGTTACGCCGACGGTTTTCACTCAAGTTATCGAATTGTGCTGCACATCGTTCCATTGTGTTGAAGTTTTGTTGCCGCGTTGATCCTTCTGCACGCGCGACCATTGTTCCAAACATCAATGAGATCCATAACGGGATCGCCTTTTCCATGTTGTAAACGACGTCACAACATTCGAGTTAGCACTGCCTGTTTTGCCGGAATTGAAAATTCCAACTTGCTTTTAGGTTACCTTGAAATGAAGACTTAGCACTTACAGAGTGTCAATGTTTCCAAAAACTCTCAAACGTAAACAAGATTTTATAAATGCTGTTTACAGTTTTCTAGATATCACGGAAAACCTGGTATATATCATACATGATAATACCTACCATTGGCAGTGTGGATCCCCGCTATACTTGTAGAATGTGTATAAGATACGCCACGCAATAACAAATAAATCATATCTCCTATCTGAACACGTGTGTCAGCAAAACATAAATCTGGTCTCTGTGAGCTGATATCAGTGTTATCGAGGTGTTACAGAATGGTATTTTACTGATTTATGACAAGTGCAGAAAAGTATTCATATATTTGTTAGGTAAATCAAATCTTAAATTGCGCTTTCGAGTATATTTTTCGATTCTAGATATTTTGGCGTTGACCCCCTTATATTTACATTACAACCTTTGTAACAATGGAATTCTCAGTATGTTTGCATTATCCATTGTTAATGAATATTTTCTACAGTGTTTCATTTTTTGAGATTTTACCACGAATACCGAGACTATATATTTGTTGCAAGATGTTACTCACACATAATTGAGACCTTGATTGATCTTCGATCTCCGAGTTTATCTTTTAAGTTTTACCACGTGTAGACATTAACACTGAAGCTATAACTGCCCTTTATTTTATATTCAGGCAAAGCATTTTCTTCAATATTTGAATTTTATAAATTAAGAAAACTTCAATATATATTGAAAATTAACGTTCCTGTCAAATCTAATACTTTGATGCTGGAAATGACCTAATTCATTTTTAATGCAAGCATATCCTGAAATTATCTAACATAACAACAACGTCAAAAAACAAAAAGTCAATTACATCTAAGAAACAATGTTCTTAAAGTTTTTCGCGGTAACCATTTATTCGTGAAAAATAGAACCCGCGAAACTGAGAGCAAATGTAGCAAATTGCAATGCATTTATCTTTACCGTAATACTTTTTGTAAAAGAACTTTTGCATCAATACGTTTACAATTACTTAATCATTCTCAGTTACTCACCGTTTAACATTTGAAATACGAATATAGCAATAGCTTCACACATTTGACTGACATACAGGTAGGACTTACAATATTTTTGTCGTTATTATATTCTATGTTTTAATGTAAAAAGAAAAAAGTAACGAAGTTTATTTATGTCGACATCTTAGCTATTGTTTTAATATCAAGCTGATTTATTGACACCATAGGGTGTATATACATAATGTACACTGCCCACACTAAAGCTCTTTACACCAGTTTAAGGTGTCAAAATGAAAAAAAAAAATCTAACTTTCTACCACAATACGATGTGTAATTCCACTCTCAGATCATTGTATAAACACGCAGACTGTTAGATAAGTATGCGTTATATTCCACATGTGGAATGTGACATTCAAGAGTTTAGATTGGTCGAGAAGATGAACTTTGACCGGGAGGACTTTTTCCACGCGCTTTTTGCCACATGCTGTTTTATTAACGTCGTCTGTTGTCAACATCCGACAAATGTTGGTGACTTTGTGAGGATATGCGGCAAAGGGGGTTATTAAGGCAATATTAAAAGAAGATGATACTTAAAGATTTGATCGCTAGTTTCAGGCAAAATTGCTACAGACACCCGATATCGTTTCGACGTCACACTAAGTAGAGTTCCCAGAATGGGATCCTATGACCACTTTTCCGGGACCAAGGTTTGAAAGCTGATTTTGGTCAATTTGAGGGTTCTGATCAAAATGAGCTGGGGTGAACCTCGTAGAAATATGGGTTACAATCCTTACGGCGTCAACAAGCCGTGTTAAAAAAGAACAAACCCAAAAACCGAACGGTTGTTTCAACGTGTCACTCACTGCATCTGGCTCGTCGATTGGTCGATAGAACGTTTGAGGTCGGTGTCGTCCTTGATTTCAGAAGCAGTGTACAACAGTGTATCTTTTTCGGAGACTTGTTGTTTGCGCGCATTGTCAACTGAAGATTACGCATACACGTATATGGAAACGTAAAATTTACATTGCATGGACATGTTTCAAACCATGCGTCATGACTTGAATGTTTCGTTAAATTTATACCTATCCACATTTTCGTGAACTATACTGGTATTTATGATTACAAGATGGCAAAATGAAGAATATTATAAATGCTGGAAAGCTGTCCATACTGGCCGCTGCACTGAAAATGTAATAACAAAACATAACAAATACATATCAACAGTTACTGTAGTTTCAAGCTTTTTTTATTTAGCCCATCACTAGATGTAAACTGGCTTTACCGTTGTGTCACATCTATGTTTAAGGATCCCCTTACCACTGCGTAAACGTCTCACTTATTTAAACAATAACTGGTTGTCTGGATGTAATTATTGTTGATATAAGTACAAGTGTCCTCTGGCAAATCCCTTAAAACCCCCTTTATGGTAGATTTGCCAGAGGCCATTTGTAATTATTTCAACAATAATTACATCCAGACAACCAGGTATTTTTTATAATTAACATATTTTACTTTTTTAAGACATATTCCTCAAAAAACCATTTGCCCTGCCTCAAAATACATTTTAGGCAGCCATTTTGTTTGTTTACATATTCCTACACCTGAAACAGGCAGTTGTAATTATAGTCGAGCAGTTGTAATTATAGCCTATATAATTACACTTGCCCTCTAACACTGTTGTAATGGGACGGCGCGGGGGCAAATGAAAATATATTAGTATTGGAACACTTTTCTGGTATGACTTAAACTTAAATGAAACATTTCTGTAAAGAAAATCCTTCTTCGCGGGGCTTTTATGAGTTGATAATACTCAATATGATTAAACAAAATACAATCAACAACAGTGCTCCGAGTGTAAAAAAAAATAGCGGGGCTGGACCGGAATTCAAATCCTTGACTTCCGATTTAGCTACCTGGTCAACGGTCGGGGCGTTGCCAAATTGTGATACAGTTTTATCCAAACGGAAGTGAAGGGGAGGTAACTGTATATAGGAAAACTCACAATACAGTGGGGCAGGAATCCTTAAGGGGAGGTAAATGTATATAGGAAAACCACCGTTTGGATACAGGTTTTGTAGCTCAATCGGTTGAACGAAAGTTCAGCAGTATGGAGGTCTGGTTTCGAAAAAGGATCTAGTCCCTCGGTGATTTTTTTAACTCATAACACAGCTATTTATTATATTTTGTTTATTTCATTTTTATTATTTGTCATAAAAGTCCCGCCAGGTATAGTTTTCTTTAAAGAAATGATTTATCAACGCTCAAGGCATGCCGGAACAAAACAGTTTCCTAACAGCACATAAATCTTGTAAGTGAACAGAGATCATAATTCCCCTGTTGAAACCTACAATTTCCGTCCAATCAGTCCAGAAAATAATCATCCGTAAAAACGAGGCTCAATTGCAATTATTTTATGCTGAATACTTTCACAACATCGCTCCTGAATTGTGTGATATAGAGTAACCTCCCTTTAATGTTATAACAGATGGCGTTAGGTCTGTGAAGTCCGTCGGTCTGGTCAAGGAGAACACCGCTGTATTCCCCGCGTTCCGTCACGACGTGGATGACGTGGTTTATGACGTCAGTGACCAATATTACATCTGCCACAGCGACAATCCCACCCATCTTTGTAGACATGCCTCCTTGCCAGCTTCCTGCCTGTGGTATCAAACACGTCCATGCTCTATGACCCTTAGTATCATAGCAACCCAGAGTTCCTGAATCGTCCTCCAAGACAACCACATTTAGTGATGCATCTCGGGTACTTTTAAATATTGCTGCTCTACCCCATCTTTCCATTGGTGTACTAGATTTTTCTTCCGATTTATTTAGTTCCTTTTCGGATCCGTTGGAATTTATAATTCCAATCTTTGATCGATTGCCAAACATTTCATACGTCACAGCTAATGTATTTACATTCTTGACAATACCGGTTATGTCCCCTTTTAGTGACAATTTATGCGTCATCTGTGATAGTTTCGTGGCTTTTAACTTGAAGTATAATATGTCATTACCCATCGCCATGGCAATCATGTTTTCATTTACACACGTCACATTTCCGGGTAGGTACGCGAAAGAGAGGCTGGAATGAAGTTTATGATCGGGCGTAAATATTTTCATTTTGGCATTTCTATCATCAATTACAATTATTTTACCGTCCAGCATTGTTGAAATATCATACGTTTTAGCTGTGTGTTTATCAGATGTGATACCTACGGAAAATTCACCCCGATAGGTTGTACTTATTGACTGACTTGTCTTCCTATAGCTAGCAACAAGCATGCCACTTCCACCTCCGGAAGTAATATCAGGTCTATTTTCAGATTGACTGCGACCTCCAGAATCATGCGTAAACTGTCTTCTTCTTACATCGGTTTTGGGCAATGCGTTGTTTTGTCTGCGCCGGATGTCGTTGGCACCGGAAACAGGTTCTCTAGCAAACGCTGCCAGAGTAAGCACTGTATGTGACGTCTGATTCACGTCGTTGTTATGGAAAACGCTACAACTTTGACAAAGCAGCTGTTTACATTCCCGGCATACAACAGCGGCCTTATGCGTATCCGTTCCAGAGGTAGAAGTGCATCTTTCGCATGCGAAATTGTTTGTATTCAGTCGACGAGGTCCACTTCCGGTTAAGAACAGTGCATGCTGATGGGTCTGGGTTCCTGTGGATAAATGGAAAGCTGTGATCAGTGTAAGTAAATTAAACCTTCCTAACTGAAATACGCTAGGACTAATATTTCCGTTATTATGAAATCGGGAGAGTTAAGGATTCCATATTTTATTTAGCAGATAGTATGTTGTTTTGACTGGCTTTACTGGCGAATAGAACATGAAATTTGGTTTGAACGCGAGACCGATATGTCGAGAGTTTAAACCATGTTAGAATGCAAGTTCGTGTTAGAATGCAAGATCTAACAAATATTCTGAGTTATGTAAGTATCAACACTACAAATATATTCAAATCATCGCTGCATCAACAGCGTGGAAATGGTAATACAGATGTACAAATCAAACATATAACATTGTACTACACATGCCTTTGAACTTCCGGTGATTTTCTGCGCAAACTTGGCAACAAAACTGACGGCACTGAATACAGAAGGAAACCGAAGTTCCAGGACGGTCTTGGCCTCGTTCCTGACAGGGTTCACATACCACTGACGAAACACTTTGTTGGCGGGAAGTCGACGACACCGAAGACTTTGAATTACTTCCATTCCCCATATTTGTTGGCATTTACCTTGAATTAGACAAACAAATTCATCGGAGCGACATAATGACTGAAAATACAATGAAATAGCTTGATGTATGTCAATGAAAATGGAAATGAAAACGTATTGGTCACAAAATATTAATGTCCAAGAATGTAAATTGAATGTCGTTATGCAAAAGGTAACATTTCATAATCAAATATACGATAATAAAGAGGTCCAATGTAGAAGTTGCATTCTACAAATATAAAATTAATCCGTTATGACCAATTTGTTCAGAATGGGGAGAATAATTTTTGTAATTCCTTTTGAAACACATTTACTATCTGTAAACAATAAATTTCATTTTTAAGGATCCTTGTCCCATCGGACTGTGGTTTGGCTTCTGTACTGTAACCTCCCCTTAATACCGTCCTAGATATTACTGTAGAACAGTTGGGTCAGGACGCTTCCTTTGACCGGGTATACGTAGCTAAGTTGAGTATATCTATATTATGACCCTGTTAAATTGTTACTCTTAGAATAATGGTGTTGACTATATTTCATATTTATTAGTATCATTATTATTTATTTCAAACAGTTGAAGTTCCAAAAGATAGGGAATTCTTTTCGAAAATATGTTTTGATACCAGAAAAGAAATTTCCAATTCATAGTAAAAGAAAAAGTGTTTGGTAGTGGTGCGGGGACCCTTAAGTAAATGTACTTTGTTTCAATCCATTAACGTTGTAAATCTACCTTTGATTTTAATTAACAACTGTAACTTATTTGGATTTCCTGGCATTTATGACGACTGACTGATGCAATGTTATCAATAAAGTGAATACTGTTCAGTTATCTCGTTACTCTACTTCTACGTTCCGTGTTAAACGCAATTTGTTTTTCTATGTTAGCGAGAAGTATAAAGATCCGAAGTTCAGGGTTCGAATTCCATTCTTGCCTCGCTTAACTTTTTACACTCAGAACACTATTATTGATACTATTTTGTGTTTTTAATCTTTATTATGTTTCATTAAAGTCCCACAAGGTATGTTTTCGATTCAGAATTTATTTATCAGATGCATAGTCATGCTAAGAAAAAAACGTTTCCAATGGGTAGTTACAATGTACATGAACAGTGATATGGGGATCCTGAGGTAACTTATATCAAATAAACGATACATCTTGTAAAATAAGCGTTTGTTTATGTAATTTCAAAGGTCGAATGCAATATGAGTCTGTACTTATGCGCTAGTTAAGCCTTTTCAATAGAAAGCTTGATTTCAATCAGCATCAATTCCCCTGTTACCATGAATTACATATGATGTTTAGGGGAGAAATCAGTTGTCTGAGACACGAAATCGGGTTTTATATATGAGATATATATTATTATAATGAAATTTTCATTATATAGGATATCAGGTATATGATATATTTTTGTTTTATATATATATTACATATGTATATATTTAATGTGTAAAGATTTTTTATGGGAAATCGTACAAGACATATCATACAGTATAGGGATTTTATTTTGTACACTTTATAAGATATTTAATTGAAATTCTAGATAGCAAAATGTTGAAATGCAAGTAAATTATATCTACAACAAAAATGTGTTATTGAAAAATAAAAATGTCGATATACATGTAAACATATATACTTATATGTTATACGCTTCTTAAATACGTCAAGCCTTTAAAATTTGATAATTCTGTTAATGAAAAATGTGAAATAGGCTCGTCCTACGTCACCTCATCTAGATAGTTACCTCCACTGTCGGTTTTGCCAGATTGCCTATTTTATGTTGCCATCGTCGTGAATATTTGTTTCTGTTTTATCTTTGAAGTTAATCAATAATAAAATACCTGTGTTAAGAACACGTGGTACGTTTCTGCTGTATCAGTATATACACGCGGTACGGGTGTGTGTTTACATACGTTTAAATGTAATGCGTTCAGACCTACACAAGTGTCCCACTACGTGTATCGTCTACTGTGCTTACTATAATGGTATCGAGACAAAATGATCTAATACAGCCCAAATATCTAATAAGTTACCCGTTTATAAGTGAATCCATAAAAAAATGTACAACAAATAAATAGTTTAGATCAGATTGGCATAGAACCTAAATTCACATATAACATAAACGTTACTGTGATAATACATTGTACGTTTTAGAAGAATTTATCAAATTGTATTCTACAACATTCATAATGATTAAATCAAACGATTATATGTCCATTTAGAACAGCATGGTTATTATAATAAATATAGTGATCATGTCACATACACTCACCTGCCCGTACACAGTCCTTAATGTACCCGGAATTAACAGGTAACGGCTGAGGGGTTAGACTGGGTCTGGAACTGCTGATCATGAGAGGAAGTTCTGTCGATATGGGCCTAATCAATGCTTCATATTAGCCAGGTAAATACGGTTATACATATATATCCCCATTAATTGTGAACGGGTCAGGGTGGTGTGTATTTCGTACACGCTGCCCGTCGATATACAAAGACGTCACTGTCATGGGTATGGTAATGTACCTACAGAGAGCTCTCATGTACTTTATATTGAAACTTACTCGACCTGATCAATGATTTTGTATATGGTCACAGCTAGTGCAGGCTTGGATGACCTTTATAACCTTATACACGCAAACACCGCTGTTGTTGTATTTAATACATAGTGCATATGTTTACCACGTCAGTATATGCCTAATGTTGTATAATAAATACTTTGCATGTATGGCACTGCCACACAGTCAATGAACAAGTTTATAATAGTTTTTAAATTTTTAAGTTAGATACAGATATATTTATATATCCCAGACTGGGTCAGCGAGCCAGGACCAAACCGGAATCTTGATTCAATACGAAATATATAAAATGTATGACCATTTTACACATTAACCAAACACCAAGGGCATCTTAAATCCAAACACAAAATACCAGAACACGTATAGGACCTATCGAAACAAAATCGAAGAAGATATTGAGCCCTTACGCATAATATAAGAACACAGGACACATCTAAGAAAATAAAACCGGACACTTATAAACAAAAGGAATGATATCTTAAACCGCCTATACATAAAACAGGAACACATCGCAAATCAAAACAAACAGCAAGGGCATTTAGAACCTTTGGAACCCCAATTAATACTACAGGACCACACCCTCACTCAAATAAAATAAGGACACAGCAAAAGAAATAATAATAATAATTCGAAGTTCTTATATACCGTTTTATTACATCTTAGTTCGTAGGTCGCCTTAAAGCGGTTCGCAAACTATTATCCGTGGTTATAGGGCCTTTGCAACCAGCCAATATCTTGCTTAACTCCGTGGGGAGCATACATACAGCCGGAGCTGCCATTTCGGCGCACACAGCTACAGCATTCAACAATTCTAGCACTGCCCAACCGTGTACTCAATTACAACTGAGTAGAATGGAACACAACTAAAAACAACAACACAGTACGGTACCGGCAACCCTTCGGTCACGAACCCGGCGTCCTACCACTAGACTACCGTGCCTCCTATATCATAATTGTATTGATATAAAGACAGAAGGATTGAAAACATCTTAACCCTTAACAGGGGTGGTCGGTGGCGCAGTGTATTACGCACTCGCCTTTCACCAAGGCAGCCAAGGTTCGATTCCCCGATCGGACGTGAAAATGTATGGGGTCACCTGCCCGACCATGCGGGTTTTCTACGGGTACTCGGGTTTATAAGTGACTAATATAAGTTGTAATAACTTGTTTCATAATTGTTGTAAAATAAATAAAGCTTTTTTTTTTAAATCAAAAGGAACAGAGACCATGAACCCCTGCACAAGATAAAAGAATACAACATGCAACAAAAGAGCAGGAATTATATTTTAACTGCCTATAAATATAAACTCTTATTGATATCTTGAATATTTAAAACGGAAGAACGGTTAATTGTGGGAGAAAGTATGTGTCTTCTGTGTTTAAAGAGATGATTTCTGATCAATGATTACCAAAACATTTTTGCTTTGACTTGAACATGAGACATTATGGAAACACTTATGATTCTAGAGCACCGTCACGTCCGGTTAATAAGACTTTCACCACTATGAATTTGATTCCCGTGGTAACCTTGGCTAATCAAGTATAGATGTGTTCTAATGTGTTAACTGTGTGAGACGGTCTTGAAGTAATCAGTTTTACCAAAACATTCGACTTTGCGAATTCTTTATTGTTAACAGTTCAAGAAATATACATCCTGAATTATGTGAAACTTTTCCCAGCGTGCTTTATTTCTTATCACACCAATTAAAAAATGTTGATATAAATTTGATCAATGGTTACATTCATTTACTTTTCATAATATCTCGACCGAGCGTGGGAAAGTTAGTTTTGATAGGGAACTGGTTTTTTCCCCATTTTGTGAAATAAATACTTTTGCGTCGCAGAGAGAATCAGTGGAAATTCCAAATATGTACCGAAAGCATTAGTTTAATTTATATATATTCCATTGATCAAATGATTCAAAAGGATCGAACAGAATGTTATTACAACTTACGACTCCATGATAAAACACAATATATAGATCCGTAAGGTTTTTCTTTATAACAATATCCTTTGATAAGGTGACTATCTTATTGAGCTGATAAAGGATGGTGACTGGACGATAAGAAAGTGTTTAGTAGGGTTAAGTTTGGTCAGTAAAACACATTTGCCTTGAAACCATTAAGAACAAAGTTTTAAGGAGGCACGAGAGTCTTGTGGTAGGACGCCGGGTTCGTGACCGAAGGGTTGCCTGTTCGAGTCACGGCACAGCACTGTGTTGTATCTTTGAGAAAGATACTTTACTCCGCTTGTTCCAGTCTACTCAGCTGTAAATGAGTACCTGGTTGGCAGTGTTAGAATTGTTGAATGCTACATATAGCCGTTAGCGCCGAAATGACAGCTCCGGTTGTATGCTTCTTGGAGAGTTGAGAAAGGTATTGGCTGGTTGCAAACGCCCTATAATTATAACCACGGATTATAATTTGTGAACCGCTTTGGGACGACCTACGTACTAGGTTGTGATAAAGCGGCATATGAGAACCTGGAATTATTATTATTATTATTATTAACGTACGTAATCATGAAAATTGGAGTGATTTGCAGTTACAGGAATATCGTACATAGGCTAGTTAAGTCCTCTCTTGTGACCAAAACCCTCAACAAAATACCACAACAAATGTTACGAGAATTGCTATTAGCACAACATTTATTACAATACCAAATCATATATATTCATATTTTATATCATGTATTTATAAAACAAATCAGCTTTTTGATACACTCTTGGAACTATAACGTCATGTCTAGTACTATTCGGTTGCCGACATGAGTATATCTATTCCGCTGCACCTATCACAATAAACAAGGTTGTTCTCTGAATGCTAAAATAGCAGTATCTCATTAACATCAACATTATATCTATATAACATTATCAACTATATATACATATTTTAATAACAAAAAAACATCGAGAGAAATGAATTACGTATCACAAGCACTCTAAAGATAAGATGCATGTACATGTAACATACGTGTAGTATATAATGTTATCTGGAACAACTCATTGAAGCAAACAGTACAATAAAGAAGTGTGTATATAATGAAACATCGACGTTTGTATAATGTTGATACTATGACGTCACGTGAGCTCATAACATAGTAAGTAAATGATTTCAACCGAATATACACCGTTAATACACGATAGAGAATGCCCATGTGATTACTCTTGGTTAGTATTGAAATTACATTTTATAATGACTTTACAAACATATTCGACTATTTACCAAAATTGCGAGCAAAGCTGATACGTCATAGTTAACACAAAACATAATAACAAAAGAAAAAAATCATTTGTTTCTGCAAGTCAATGTACGTTACTGTTTTGTTTCATATCATACATGTCCAAAAGGATCCACAACTATTGATATGTGATATATATGAAACTCGGTTAAGTTTGTGTTGACAATATCATATAAGAAGAACACTTGATGAGCATCAACTTCGTAGATTGCTAAACAAACTAAATTGTTTTCTGTTGTATAATTAGGTATTGTTCGAGCATTGAATCGTTCAATGTCTGTCCAGCATGCGTAAGAGTTTCTTCATGATATCAGTGTGCGAGTCGTAATGCCCACCTATAGGAGTTTGGTCCAACAGCAGGCTAGCACGCTTCAATACCTGTGTTAAAAAATAATTCATGACGTATTTATGGTTGTCCATGGTCACCATCACCTCATGTTATGACGTGTTTGCATTGAATTTGCCTTGTATGAAAATGTCAATATCTCATTGTATTTGTACTATTGAACCACAGTTAAGGTATCAAAAAGAAGTATTTATAGCGAAGCATTGTATAATGTATTGCGATTTTCATACATAGTAGTACTCATTATGTATGTTCGTCACTGCACCTCATACTGGGAATATAATGTGAAATCTAAAAGTGAAGTTTGTTATTTAAAAGCAATCTTTTAACAGGGGACAAGCAAACTCTATCGTTTACAATCATTTTAAACACCACTATGTCCAAATGTTACGTCATATTCAAATCAGTAATTACAATATATATAAATTAGATTTTACCTCTTTTCTCACAACGTCAGGAATATAAGTGCGAGTAAACAATTCATGCATTAAGGGCTTTTATACGCCCTTCTGTTTCAACAGTTTATTAGATCTACTTGGATTTCCAACATTTAACTCCTGGCATCGCTGATGAGTCCTAGAAGGACAAACTAGCTGTATGAAGCAATCTATAGCGGGGACATTATTCATGACTGACAGGAAATAGACGCTACACTTCTTTTTTAAGACATACATAGTTTGATGCCTATTCATATACACATTCATACTACGAGCATTCAAGCGCTCAAAATGGTGCATGCTGTTACATTAACAACAGTGAAATTATTCTGTTTACATAATAAAATGCAATCACATGATTTTATATTGACGTAAAAAAATCTCGATATTACAATATCGAACGGAGTGGTTTAGTGGGCTAAACCGGTAGGTTTTACTTATACACGATTATCAACGTTTTCGTCTTCGATGGTTCGAGTCCTGCAAGCATCCCTTTTTTTCCTCAAACAATATATTTTTTTACGGCTCATTTTGATATTGTACAAAGTGATTATTCGCTGTCAAACGTTTTTAATGTTAATAGAGGCATCTTATATATAACAAAAGGGAAAATGGTAAGTTACATTTGACTAATGCACGAAATTTTATTTGACAAAGAATACCATTGCGAAGGGAAGATTACACTTACGTTCACCTGACGGATGTAAGGAAAGTGTTTCATCAAAACATAATTAATTTAAAATTCTAAAGAATTGTCAGGTTATTTACTAAAACAGAGCTGGGATTTCTTAAACTTAATAATGTATTTGGATCCTTTCAGTTGGTTAATGCACGGAATTGTAT